TAGAATTTATTTTGAAATTAAAAAGAAAATAATAACTTAATGTTGAATATTCCGTTTTTTTCTTTTTTATTTCAAAAATTTCCAAGGTCTATGAAATAATGACAAAAAAACTTTTATTTATATTTGTCAACTTCCATTACACACGATGCCTATCAAAATTATCTACTCAGCTGTAAATCAATCGAATAGAACATTATCAGCTAAATGAGATCATCTCAAAATTCTTCGCGACATTTTTCTGAAATTTTGAACAAAGAAAAAGTCTTATAAACCTTTCATTAATTTGATGTAGCGAAATTGGAAAGATTCACGAAGAATTCGAAAGTGCCTCATCATTTCACCAAATCTTCCACTCTGCTATCAACTGTAGTCAATAATAGACTCTTTTTTCAACCTCTAAGTATTGAAAACCTAGACTTTTCGTTTTCTGAAAAAGCTCGTATTTGAATTCTTCTTAGAACGTTACGAAGAAGCGAAAAAACTGCATTTACACATCAATAGAGAGTTTTTTGCTATTATTTGATTTTTGTAATGATTGTAAAATGAAATCATTTTGAAAATGTTATATATATTAAGTAAAAACTCCACTAAACTGTTGAAAGTAAAAATTCCATAAAAAATTCATCATCATCGAAACTAATTATTTTTCTCCATTTCTGTTAAACAAAAATAATAAAACGATATAATAATGTAGTTTAACTAAACCAAGGGGAAGGACTTGGTCATGTGAATGACTCATAAAGGATCGAATAAAGTTTCATCAAATTTCAACAAATTAATATTCATGTTTCCTAAGCTTTCTATTCTCAGCAATGTCATGTTTATCAAAACGCAAAATTCGATCAGTCAATATAATTATGACAATGTTTTTCTTTCATTATTTTGATAGACGAGTTTGATAAATTTTTGCTGCAACGATGAGAGGTCTCCAACTGATTCGCACCATTTTCAATGATATGTTATCCATATATTAGGGCCATTATTCTAAGAAAAATCCTAAGAGGGTTTGAGTTGATGATGCTTTCTTCGAAGGTTATGACCATTTTACTGATTTTTCGACCTATGGCGAGATATTTACAAAAAAATCGAATAACGAAATTTTGACCTGAAATTTTCCTCATATGTAGGTCTCATGGTCCCCAGTATACGCTAAAAGTTTCATCGAAAACGCATGTTTGTTTCTCAAGATAATGAATTTGCCATAAATTATCCGCATTTCACAGAAATCTCTGAAAAATCGAGTTTTTTTGGATATTCGTTATCTCAGGAATGGAACATCCGTTTTCACTGAAACTTTTAGCGCATACTGAGGACCATGAGACCTACATATGAGCAAAATTTCAGGTCAAAATTTCGTTATTCGATTTTTTTGTATAAATATCTTGCCATAGGTTGAAAAATCAGTAAAATAGCCATAACTTTCGAAGGAAGCACCATCAACTCAAACTCTCTTAGAATTTTTCTTAAAATAATGGTCCCAATATATGGATAAAATATTATTGAAAACGACATGGATCAGTTGGAGACCTTCCCTCGTCAGTAGTGTAGTAATCTAAAACTTAAATTATCAAAGCACCAAGAAATTTTCAAATCATATGAGCAAAAATAACATTAAAACATTGAAGCCATTTATGTTTTCCATTCAGATGATGATGATACGTATGATCTTGAAATAACATTCAAGATTACTTATTTCTTATTTCAGGAAACATTACAACTTTTCTTGAAACTTATCCTTATCCAGCGTATGAATTTAACAAAATAGCTGCTGGTGTTTTTGCTGGTCTCGTCGGTGTTTCATTAATTGGATTGATCATTCAATCAATTCTAATACGCTTTCAACCAATTCGGCTAAATATTCTTATTCTCCTTTCTCATCTGACCATGTTCGTTCATCTAGTATTACGTGCAGCTCTTTCTACTGAAACAAATAAATCAAAAGCTACTTTTACAGCCATGACAGTTTTACTTGCTATTAGTCTACGTACAATTATTTTTGCTAATTATGATTTTCTCGTACGAATATGGAACCTCAAAAAATGGATTTCGCGTGCTCTTCTCATAGGTCCGGCTCTTGCCGCCATCGCATCAGTCATTCTCATGGCTCCAGCCAACTCATTAGGATATAATCCTGACACAATCGAAACAAGCTTTCGATTACGAAAAGCATCAAATACAATTGTTCTTGGTTTGACCATTGTCTTCTATCCGGTTTGGTTTGCAACAAAAACAATACAACATATGAATACACTAGCGATTATTTTTTTAATTATCTCGAGCATTTGTTGTTTGATTGTCAGTATTTTTCTTGTAGTTACATCAATTCCAAAGTATTATATTCGTTCAAATGAACAAGAATTTTGGACTTATATTTTTCAAATTATACCTACCATGGTTGCGCAATTCACATGGACGATATTGCATCCGAAACGAACTCTTGTCAAAAAACAACAATTTGAAAGAGGAACCGAATCTGTTACTACCATTGATCTATAAATCAGTAAGACTCAATGGAATCATGGAACAAATCACTAATATCCGTAACTTGTTATGAAATATTCAAACACTTTTTTTGAAACACATTTTAACAAAATTTATATTGTAAACATTATATTATAGTTCCACATATATTTATTGAAAAGAAGAAGAAACTGTAGTTACTACAACACAATAATCTGAAAATTAAATAAAAAATTTATAGAGAAAGAAACAACATATTTTATCATAAAACAGCATATAAGAAATAAGAATAATTGTTATTTGAAAATATAATCAATCAACGTTTTCTGTTAAAAGATTTTTCAGAATATTATTTTAATCGTTAGATACAAGAGTTTTTATGACAAAACTAATGATAGATTTATTCGCAGGTTTATCATGCATATACACTAGTCTCTTTTTATCGGCGATAAATTCATAAAAAAGCTACAAGATATACACACAGTATTCTCGTTTCTATTGAACAATACAACGTATTCAGTAGAGCGTTGTATTGATTTCTTGGTATCGATATATTCGATCATGGTTTTTTTATCTTATTTGAATGTACACAAGTGAATTACAATTTTTTCTTGCGAAAAATTTCAAGTAGACTTGAACAATTTCTGAACAGTGCATTTTATTACACTCTACACTTATATTACACAGCAAAAGTTTCCCAGTATTTGACTACATAGTACCTGAGATACAAATTCTTCAATTTAAAAGTACTATAAAAAATGTTTATTTAATAAAAAATGCCTTTTTACATTGCATCACATTTTTAAGATTCTTGATAGTGAAAAGAAATACAAAACTGAATTTTTCACTGGTCCATACAGGATAGGGTGTCGGTGCGAGTGGATTAAGAGCACACCTACACCCACACCCATACCCATTTAAATGAGTTTCTGCTAGTCATCATCTAATTTGCAATGATTACAACCATCTGAAGTCATACAGAAATAAATGTCAGCTGTGCACTCCATACGAAATGAAACTCATTGAACAAACATGGGTTTTTTCCTTCTTTTAGGTCACTTGTTATCTTCTCTTTCAGTGGATATTTTATTGCTGCTGTGCACTATCCTTTTCATAGTGTTTATTTGATAAGAATTCAAAAAGAAACAAAAAAAGAAGGCAAACCCAGATAACAACCGAAAGCAAAGGATGGAGTGTGAATGTGGGTGTGGGTGTTGTCTCTTTCCACTCACACCCACACCCACCCTCTCGAAGAGACTTTGTTGAAAACTTCTAAATTTTTTGTGGAAGCTAGTCTAGTTGAGATCTCTATATGCACAAAGTTTCAGATCAAAATTCGAAAATATGATTTTTCTGAGACCTGAGGTTCTACAGGAGTCTATAGGACATAGACATAATATTCCGTAAGTTTTTATCGACAAAAGAGACGAGATCTAAAGAAACCAACATCGAAGCAGGTCCATACTCATCAAGTATTTTCATTTTATACCATTTCCACCGTGGGGAAAATCCATGATTTTCGACTTCCCCTTTTCTTTTTTCCGTTGTAAAGTTTAATATCAGTCAATGATTGTGCTAATAGATATTTCGTCGAGCACTGTTGTTGACGCAATCTCTATGTTTCAGATGTACCATTAGTGTTTGTTGTTTTTGACATAAAATATACGATAATCAGTCATTAGATAATTAATATCCATTTGATGGAACTTGATGATAAGGATGTGCGTGTAGGTATGACTGTGGGTATGGATGTTGAATGGATAACGAGAAGATGCACACTCACACTTACACCCCACAGCCACAGCCACATCCACACCCTCAAGTACCTTGAACTTTTCGACATTAGCAGAGAATTATTTCGAGTTATCTTCTAGCAAAATTTATACTAAGCCCGAGACCGAGATCTCGATGGCACTGAGATTAAAACTAAAAATTTTTTCATCGGAACTGAGATCAAAAAGGCTGGTCCTGCTCATATCTACGCAAAAGTCATATGAAGCGTTCAGATGAGTTTAGTCAAAATAAGAAAAATTAATTTCTCTTGTTCCAGAATTTACAAAACTCTTGAATACCGAGTTCAAGTCAAATGCCATGTACAATGTTCGTGCAAAAAGCGTTAAATATCGTTGTAAAAAAGTGAGCTCATTTTTTGACACAAGTTGTACACCGGACGGTATACCGACACTTTAATATTACTATCGTCTCAGTTCGGTCTGCCTCCAAATTTTTGTACGATCTTGCATGGTGCATGGCGCGAATATTTGGAGCAGAATTTATTATGCGATAGATAAATTTAACTTGTCACGTTGTGCCCTCCGATTCTCGTTCTTTGTATAAAGAACGCAGAAGAGTGGTGAAGTGTAGAATAAACATACCCATTGCACTTACGCAAGCAAGAATTGAGATAGGCAATGCACAAGAAAAGTCATCGTTGCGTAAAGAGAAAAAAAAATGCATATCACGATGATGGTGCAAAAATGATTGAATAGCAAGGTATAAAAAAAATTGTAATATACACATATTAATTGAGGCAAAACACAATGGCATCGTCGAGTGGGACGAAAATTATCGCGATTATTGGTGGTACTGGAGCCATGGGACGTCCAATTATTGCTGCATTGAGTCAAACAAATTCGTATAAATTGCGTGTTTTAACACGTGATACTCAAAGTGAACAAGCAAAAACTATTTCGAAAACATATCCAAATGTCGAACTGATCGAAGGTAATTATGCTGATGATCAATGTATACGAAAATTATTTACATCTATCTATGGTGTGTTTTGTAATACCGATATTTGGAGTTGTGGTGGCTATCAAAATGAGATCGATCTAGGAAAGATGATATTCAACATTGCTGAAGAAATGAATGTACAACATTTCATCTACAGTTCACTGGATCATACACAAAAATTGTTGGCTAATCATGGTGGATATCGATGCCATCATTATGATGCCAAAGCAATTGTAGCTGAATACATTGAATCTAATGATCCAAAACGACAAATACCATGGACAATAATTACCACAGCTCCATATTTCGAAAATTTCCAATCAGTTTTTCTTCCAAAAAAAGATCCTGCTGATTCTGATCAATTGATATTTACCTTTCCTATGGCCGACAAACCTATCGTCCTGGTCGCTCTTGACGATATTGCTTGGTTCGTTAAATACAGTTTCGAAAATCCGAACAAATCTATTGGAAAAAACTATTACATTGCTGGTGATAATATTACAATGGATGAACTTGTTCGAACTTTCAGTGAGAGTAAGTTTCATAAACGATGATTCTACGTCATTTGGAATGATTGTATTACTTTTTAGTAACCGGCATCAGAGCAAAATACGATGATATGCCACTTGAGAAATACGTCGAAACAATGCGAGAAAAGAAACATATTGATTTTGATCGGAAAGAAAATTTTATTGGTTTTTTTCAGCAATTTTTACAAGAGAAAGTCAATCGGAATTTCAATGCATTGAAAACTATTCATCCTGATCTGCTCAATTGGCGACAGTGGCTAGTGAAAACAGGTTGGAAAGGTGAACGTGGTACTGTACAAACGTCAAGAGGCTTTTATGAAAAGACATAGAAACTTTTTCATATCAGGGTTAATCTTTTCTTTATTGTATTTTAATCCTTCATTGAATAAACATCTAGTGAGAAGCAGTCCCAAGTTATAGAGCAAAACAACATATTTTCTTTCGTTTTGCTTGGTCAAGAAGTACAATAGATCAGTGAGCACTATCTCTTTTCTCTGTAACATACTTTATCGATCGATTATTTCTTCTATAGTTCAGTTCTTTTGAATGATAGACCTCATTTACTTTTCTTACCTCTTCCATTCGGAGTAAACGTGTCTCAGTAAAGAATGAACGTGAACATAGAAATGGGCAGCTCCAACTCCAAAACGGATCTGGAACAAGACGAAAATTTCTAGTTTCGGTTACTTTTCATTCTTTTTCTGTATTATTTTTCTTCAACATTGCCGAAGAGTTTCAAAATAATATCTATACGACAAGTTCGACAAAAAAGCAGCTAGATTTACCAATGATAAAGCCTTTTTTTTCGAATGGTATTGATTTAGCCGAAAGAAAAAATGTCGAAGAAAAGTTTACGATATCCTCAACAGACGTCATTGATCTTCTTGCCTATTGATGTTTTGTTCACTAGTTGACAGTGTTCACCAAAAAACAATCACTGCAGGAGAGAAAGCGAAACGCCAACACAGACGAACAAAGAAAACGAAGTGTAATGTTGTTATTTTGCTTCATTACTCTTGATTTGTTTGTAGATATTGAAATCTTTACTCTGGTCTGCAGTCCAACATTTTATTTTGTTCTAGATAAATAAAAAAAAATGATATTTGCCGTTGCAAATATGTTGTGATCAAATCAATCATGAATTTTTCTTACGACACTTAATATTTTGTTAGTGATAAATCAATGCGTCTTCCTTCCTCTTCTACGGAATAAAAAGTTTCATCTTACTACCCGATCAAACATACATCTCGGTTTTTGTCCAAATTTTCTGCATGCTGGGAACAAATTCTCCCCTTTTTTATCCATATTAATTCGGATTACAATTTGTGTGAAGCGTCGAATTTTTGTTAATTTTTTCGTTCAAACTTCAAGTTTTTTAGGCAAAAGTCGCATAAAATATATGAAAATAAACAAAAACATCTAAAAAAATTGAAGTTTTGAAGAAAAACTCAATAAAAACTCGAGCGTTCGTTCAAAGTACGATTCAAATTAATACAGACCAAAAAAGCTCAGAATTTGTTCCTTTCGTGCACAAAGGACAAGTGGCGATAAGGCCATTTTTTTGCCCAAAATATTTCTGCAAAAAAAATCACGTACTCGGAATCAGCATTAAATTCTGAGTAAAATGAGATACTTTTTTCTGTCGAAAAGCGATTTTCATTTTTCACCTATAGTTTCGCACCTGAAGGGGACTCCAGAACCATCAAAAAACATTTTTCTTTAATTTTTTAGATTAATACATCATCAGATACAGAATTCGATGGTGATTCTGAATTTCTGATCAAAATTCGTAAAGCACGAAGTTTTCGTGGAGAAAAACCTATTTTACCGTAGGATGCTAATAGAAAGCTGTTCTCGGTTGCCAGCATTAGGGAACGTAAAAACGACAATACAAAGTCTAAAATGCATGCAGTCATGCGCCAGTCTGTTTTTTTTCGATCGAAAGCATGTAAAAAAGCAATCTAAAGCCAACTTTTGGATACTTTACAGTCAAATATTAGAAAAAAAAACAGCGAAAACACGGATTATTGGGATCTTTTGGCCTAATATTATAGGATAACGAGATCTAGAACCAATGAGTGGCATATATAGATTGATGCAATTTTTCACGCTCGTTCTGAATATGGCATCAAAAATGAGAGAAAAAGTGAAGAATATCGTTAAATATGCGAAATACTCGAATTAGAGTACGAAAGTCATAAAATCCGCACATATTTTCAGGCTATGTCCAACAAAAATTAGTTTTCAAGTAAAATGCACATGATATTCGAAATCAGCGTAGAAAACTGCGACTAAAAACATCAATTCGATCAAAAAAACATTTTCCATGAAAACTTGGCTAAGGAAGAGTACGGGTGAAATCAGATGGAAAAAGTCCTGAGGGGGAGTACGGGGTTGAATTTTTCTTGAGAACTAATTTTTGTTAGCCATAGCCTGAAAATACGTATGGGTGGGTGTGGATGTAAGTCTTCTCTGATTCCACACCCACATCCACCCACCCCAACCAGTGCTTGGGGGTGCCATCAGTGCAAGAACCTAATGACACTTAAAATCTGATGAAAATGCTTTGAATCTATCATCATAATGATCAGAAGACTTTTCTCTATCGATTCATATATGATTCAATGGACTTTAGTAGTAGAAATCGAAAGGGGTCAAAATGCGTCCTTATACGCCCCCGTCCTTTTTCAAAATTCAATATTGAACGAATTTGTAAGCCGTACGTATCATTATAAAGCAAGCAATAGCTTAACTAGTGAATTACTTAATTTGTGAGCGGACAATGAAATATTGTTAAATATCGATCATAATATCGATTTAAAACAAATTCTTTTTATTAATGATCAATTTAATTTGAAAAGTAGTGTGGGTGGGCGGGTGTGAGTGTGGGTGTGGGTTATTCTATCTCACACCCACACTCACACTCACACTCACACCCACACGCACATCCATCCACACCCACATCCACACCCACACCCACACCCACACCCTTTTTCGATATTTGACAATAATTGAAAGTACTTCACACTGTTTGTCTAACGAAGAACGAACCAATCTACGACAATATTGATAGAAAAACAGAGACTATCATCAACTTCTTATTTTATTCCATCATTCCTTCAAAACAGAAAAAAACGATGACAAAGAATAATTAATATATTAATATAATAAAGGCGAGTATTTTTCTTTTCCCGATGTTATTCGCCGACGAACTCGAAACATTTTTTATGAAGCATTAGTATTAATTGGTGCAACTCGATATTCGATGAACGTTCCATAAAGTTGAAATCGTTGTGGCCCTTTAAATTTCAGTACAACTTGATAGTTTTCATCAGATGTGTGTACACTTTGTTTTTCCTCTGCTTTTGATATCAAGACTTCTTGTCCATTTGAATAAATTCTGTAGACTGGTACTAGACCCAATCTACTGCTTAATGAGACTGCAAACGGTTGTTTTAAATTTGTATAATTTACTGCTTCAATAGTGAGTGTCAAATTGTTCCTTGGAGCATCCCAAAAGATATTTACATTTGAACAATCGTAGAATGGTGTGTCAAAAATATTAAGGAAAGTATTGTTGCATCTGTAATCCGTTGATAAACTACCACTACATGGAAATTCGGGGCCATTCGTACCATAGTTTGCTTCACACTTGGGTTCGTCGGATTCAAGATCGTCTCCAACAACAACATTTGCAAGAGCAAGAGACAAAACTAGAATGATGATTTGAAGCATGTTTTAATGTTAGAGATTAGAAAGCCTTTTTTTTATCAAATGCTTCACACGCTTTTTATATAGGTTTTCAAAAAAAGAATAAATTAAAAAGGCTTTAGATATAATCTTCAATGATTGGAATCAAAATTTGATGCTAGTGAGTGTACTGGACTTGCAACTCCTGTAGACCGTAAGTGATGAAAAAGAGAAAAAATTAAAAAAGGCTTTAGTTATAATCTTGAATGATTGATATCAAAGTTTGATTCTAATGGGCGTATTGGACTTTCGAGCCATGCAGAGTATAGATGAGTCTCTGGAATCGAGCTTCAAAACGTTTAGATTGAATACAACGGCATGTACTTTGTTCTTCTCTCCCTATCTTTCTGAATAGGTCGAGATTTTTCAAAAGAATCGATTTACTTTTCACTAACGATATGATGAAGTACGAATATGCAATAAAGTATCATCTAAAAAAATCAAGACTTGAGGGTGTGGCCGTGGCTGTGGCTATGAAGAGAACACTCACGCTACACCCACACCCACGCCCTACCCTCATAGTACCAAGATCATGGAACATGCCACCACGATTATCCCGAGATAACATATATGCAGCTTTAAGTACAATCGATTTGACAGGTTTACAAAAAAATATATATGGACCCGACAACATTATATCAACACCGTTGAAGGAACAATTTGTTTCATCGATTTTGCATGTGTCTGCATTGCCAAATAAACTTTTACAAACACCAACACGTAATCAATCAACATCTGGTCAGTATAGTAATCATAGAAGAAAAGTAAAGGATTATTTAATATTTTAGTTATTAATGCTTCGTATAATGAATCAAAAATGATTCCAGCTTGCTTACCAACTCCAAATCCGTCGTCACCTAATTTTGTATCACGATTTCGTGCAGATGTAGTACAACTTGTTGAAGCAAGCAATATTCATAAATATAGTGATACTTGTTATAAATATTGGAATACTAATAAAGATGATAAGAAAAGTTGTCAGATGTGTATGCCACGCAAGTTGGTACCAATTCCAACAATTGATCTTGATACAGATCACATTTCTATGCGAAGATCCGACCCATTGATCAATAATTTTAATGAATATCTCATCGCAGCCTGTCGATCCAACATAGATATTAAATTTATCTGGAGTGGAAGCGATGCAAAGGCTCTTATCTATTATATTACCGATTATGTGACAAAAATGAGTCTTTCTTTTCATGATACATTTGCTCTTTTACAAAAAAAGCACTACAGCGTTCCAGAATTCATGCCATCAACCAGACAAAGAAACTGCAATCGAGAAGTCGCGTAGACTCGTTTTACGCTGTTATAATACACTTGCTTCTCAACAAGAATTATCTGGAGTTCAAGTTGCATCTTATCTGATGAACTGGGATGATCGTTATACAATACACAAGTTCCAAGGCCTCTTTTTAAATCAAACCGAACGATTTTTACAAACTCAATTAAATGAAATACGTGCCAAACAGAAATCGAAAATTGTAACATGCGGTATGTTTTTAATATTATAGTTGAATCAAACATAATGTCTTATCTTTCATTGGTTAGATATAATGGACGATGACCTATATGATGATGAAGCTATTGACAATGAAAACAATGACGAAGAACAATTTCAAATTCAATCGAATGAAAATGACAATAGCTTCGTCCTTGTTAATACAAGAATTGATTATCAATGCCGATCCGATACTCTCAACAAGATGTGTTTATACGACTTCGTCAGCACATTATATAAGAAAAAAAATGAATACATCAGATTTCAAGTATTCATCCGAATCTGCAGCATCAGTCGAAAAAAATGCTAATCGAAAAGGTCGACCATACAATGAACGCTTTCCTTTTCAACAACAGCATTCACAGGCAACAACACATTTAATGATGAAATATAGTCAACTTCATGTACCTATTCTTTACGGCCCTCAGATTCCTCGACAAGATCGTGATGACACTCGAGAACGATATTGTCGAGCTCTTCTCACACTCTTCGTACCCTGGAGATCCGTCACTAATCTCTGTGATACGAATCAAACATGGAAAGATGCCTTCAAATATCGGCAACATCTTATTTCTGTTCATTCATGGAAGATTATAGAAAATATTCAAGTTTTGCACGAATGTAAAAAGGATCGTGATGATAATTTACTTCAAGTTATTGCTGAAGCTCAAGTTGACAATGATGCTATCAATCCTGTGCTTTTGCCAGCAAAACATGATGTTCATGGCGAATACGACATGGATGACAGCGATGACTTCCTTGAGTTATTAGGCAATTTAGATGAATATACAACTGCTGCAGTCAATACCACAAGAAAAACAACAGAAAATAAATATATTGAAGAAACTATAGAAGCAGTCGAGAACGTTGGACGATTTAATCATACGAACAGTAAGTATTATTTTTATATCAGTAACAAGTTTGAAAACAATGATAAAAAATTTATTGTAGCATATTATCAATCTTCTTCAGATATATCAATTGATCGTACTAATCGACAACTTATACCATTCCCTTGTGCAATACCTCATCTTGTTCAACTCAATACAAAATGACAAAAACAGTTGAAGATCGAGAAAGAACGAGTTAGACGAAGTTTAATTATAGGGAACTATGACAAAGATGATGATACATTGGATTTATTTGCTATAAGAGATGCCGTTGTAACAGTGATGAATCCAAATAATTATAGTACAAACAATTTTGAAAACTATGGTTCAATTCTTCCAGTGCTCAAAGTCATACATAACTTTCCTACTCAGACAAGTATTATTAATGAATTTACATTAAACAGAGAACAACGAGCTACATTTATGATCATAACAAGTCATCTTGATGGTGACAACCGATGTCGCACAAGTATTTTTACAATAAACGTCATCACAAATCGAAATATACAATTTGTTTAGGTGACAATAATGGTCAGCTCATCATGTGTATATCTAGGTGTGGCGGAACGGGCAAATCACAACTTATTCGTGCTCTTACCAAATATTTTCTCGTTACAAAAAGAATGCAAATGATGAGGAAGCTTGTACCGACTGGACTTGCTGCTGCTGAAATAGATGGAATGACAATTCATTCATTTTTGGACGAACAACGCAATTCAAGAAAGCCACGGACCATTAAACCGGGTGACTCAAAACTTGAGAAAGAATGGAGATCAGTCGAATATCTTTTAATTGATGAGATGAGTATGGTTGGTTTAACTCTACTAGCAAAACTCAACCGAATTATTTCAACTGCAAAACACGTCGATCCTCAAGTTCCATTCGGTAGTGTAAACATTATCTTCTTTGGTGATTACTTACAATATCGACCTGTATATGATGCACCATTACACACTGATTTTTCATTACCATCCAAAAAGAAATCGAGTAAACTATCCACAGAAAAAGAAATTCAACAACGTGTTGTATGTTCTTTAATTCTTCAAATTAACTGTGTGGTAAAACTTACTCAACAGATGCGCACAAAAGATTCACGGTACCTTCAGCTACTCGAATGTCTTCGTCATAGACAATGTGATTATGACGACTACGAATTATTGCTGACCCAAGTAGTTGGGCAACCATCAGAAGGCTCTCTCTGTGATTCACCATGGAATAAAGTAAGTTTTCTTTTCCTTTTGATACAAACGTGTATATTTGTCTCATTTAGGCTCCGGTCCTTGTGTTCCGAAATGAAGTACGAACACAATTGAACAACAAGGCAGCAATTCACAATGCAGCTCAATTAGGCCACGTCCCAATAGTATGCGTCGCTCAAGACACTTGTAATGGCAAACCAATTGAAGATCCTATACTTATAAAAAAATTATTGGAATTATCTGATAGCAAGACAGAGCATTTACCTGGTTTATTACTTTTTGTTCCTGGAATGCCTGTTATTTTAACACAAAACATTGCTATTGAACTTCGTCTTATTAATGGTATTAATGGAATCTTTCGACAATTAGTCTATCAGGCAGATTCTGTATCAACAGATGTTTTACCGGAAATATTTCCAAAAAATACACAGTACATCCATCGACCATTATATGCATTAATAGAAATTGCCAAATCAAAAATTGAATCCAATCTTGAAGAACTTCAACCAAAACTTGTTCCAATACCAGTAATTGAACAAACATTTCGAGTAGACGTTTCTGATATTCTTCCAAAAGACAAGAAACAAAAATCAAATTGAAAAGCAATTTTATTGATTAAACGTCGAGCATTACCACTAGTGCCTGCTTATTGCATTACAACACACAAGAGCCAAGGTCAAACTCTGAATAAAGTTGTGATCGATCTTAAACTGCCAAATGAAACTGAAGATATTGCCGCAATTTATGTACCATTATCTCATGTAAAACGTTTGATTGATCTAGTTATCTTACGGCAACTCAATTACAAGGTTTTAATAATTAAAACAAGTAAATTTCAACTCATCACAATGGAAAGACTGGATCAAATATAT